CGGAGCAGTCACAGGGCAGGGGAGTTTCTCAGAGCAGTGGCAGGTAGGGGGAGGGGGGAGTTTTGTGGAGCGTCCAGCAGCGAGCTTCGCTGGGCGAAACAAGCTTCGCAGAGCAGTCGAGGTGGGGCGGGGAGCTTCACATAGCGTTGCAGGGTGGCAGAGGCCATGCGATGGAGGCCAGGCTAGGCCTAGGGACCCTAACTGCGCACGATTTCATGCGCGCTGGGCCTCTAGTAAATTATATAAATGAATAAAAATATGAATTAGAAAAAATCTGATAAAAACATGAATTATTCTTGGGTTTCAAAATCTTTAAAAACATTATAAAACTTTATTTAAAAATTCACAAAATACAAGTTAAATCAGCCAGATATTTTGAGTACCCTTGCAACTTAAAAAAAATCAAGTATTACAAATGTTTGTTGATTTTTATTTATAGTAATTCCCTAGATTTAGTTTCTCTATCTACCAAACCCTTTCACCATGTCCAATATGAACTATTTTTTTAAAGTTCTCTTGTTAAACCTTAAAGAATTTTAAATTGCCTTACCATAAGCTTCAATCTAGTGACACTTATTTATATAAAAAGAGAAATCTATTTAGACTACAAATAGATTAAAAAAACAACAACAGCCTTATTTCTATTTTGGAAAGAAATGCAGCTTTTTAGTTAGCATGGAGGCAAAGCAGGGGACCTGCTTCTTTCCAATTGCACTTAGGTCTTTGCAAAAGTCCACTCGGCGCTGAGAAACTTTCCTGTTCACCAGTGTGAGGAGTTCTGTGAACTCTAAGGAGGAGCCGAATTTTCTCAGCATCTCACACAAATCTTGAATGTACCATGAGCCATTCACAGTTTCCCGATGAGAATAATAACCTAAAAAAGAGAAGGAAAAGGACACTGAAGTTTTCTGGCATTCAGTTACTGTAACTTAAAACACCTTTATGATATCACAGAGGTATAAAGTCTCAAAAAACCTTGGAAAAGACAAAGATGTATCCATGATACCGTTTTTTATATTTTTTCCTGTTGACTATTCTCATGTGGGAAAGGGATCAACTCTATAAAGTTCTATAAAAATGGGGTTAATTCTACTTAATTACCTAAAAGTTTTCAAGATAGTAGTAGCCAGGTGATGATTTTAAGAGACAAGAGATTAGAAAGAAGAAAATCATAAAATTACTGCAAACGAACAATCGTCACCAAATATTTTCAACAAAGCTTCCCATGAGTATGACCAAATGACACTATCGCCATCAGTAATTCCTAGCAGGCTGCTAATCTACACTAATAAAAGAGAAACATGGTAATTAGCGTACGACCGCTACCCTTTTCATTGGCTAATCAGTGAGTATATGCAAATTAACTGACAACCAAGATGGCGGCCGGCAGCCATGCACTGAAGCGAACAGGGAGGCTTGCTTGCTCCAGTGACTGGCGGACTCCAATGTTCCCCACCTGCCGCTGCCGGCCTCTGACCTGGCAGTTTGAAACATTGTAACAAATAGAGAAGCTAAACAAAACCCCAGAAACCAGCTTTCAGCCGCTGGGATCTCAGAGCTGGAGTTATACATTGTTTTGATTATAGACCGCAAACAAACCAGATACCAGCTTTCAGCAGCCCAGGCCTCAGAGCTAGAGCCAGAGCTAAAGCTGGCCCAGAATTAAAAAAAAAAAGAAAAAAAGGAGCGGTTGGGAGCTTCAGTCAATCGCTAGCCTGAAAGCAGCCCTCAGCCCCTCACCCAGACTGGCCAGGCACCCCAGTGGGGACCCCCACCCTGAAGGGTGTGTGACCAGCTGCAAACAGCCATCATCCCCTCATCCAGGCTGGCCAGGCACCCCAGTGGGGACCCCCACCCTGAAGGGTGTGTGCCCAGCTGCAAACAGCCATCATCCCCTCATCCAGGCTGGCCAGGCACCCCAGTGGGGACCCCCACCCTGATCCAGGACACCCTTCAGGGCAAACCAGCCGGCCCCCAGGCCTCTATCCTATATAGTAAAAGGGTAATATGCCTCCCAGCACCGGGATCAGCGGAGCCGCGAGGCCTCCTGGCACCGGATCAGCGTGACAGGGGGCAGCGCCCAAACCCCCTGATCTCCCTGGGACTCTGTGTGTGACAGGGTGTGGCGTCCCAACCCCCTGATCGGCCCTGCTCTGTGTGTGACAGGGTAGAGCCATAACCTCCCCATTGTCCCTGCCCTGAGTGTGACAGTGGCGACACCCCAACCCCCTGATCCGCCCTGCTCTGTGCGTGACAGGGGGGAGCCCCCCAACCCCCTGATGGGCCCTGCTCTGTGCGTGACAGGGTACGGAGCCCCAACCCCCCTGATTGGCCCTGCTCTGTGCGTGACAGGGGGTGGCGCCGCAACCTCCCCATCGACTCTGCCTTGAGTGTGAAAGGGGGCGGTGCCCCAACCCCCCAATCGGCCCTACCCTGAGCGTGACTGAGGGTGGCATCACAACCTCCCAATGCGCCCTGCTCTGTGCATGACAGGGGGCGGTGCCCCAACTCCCCAATCAGCCCTGCTCTGAGCCCGACCAGGGGCTGCACCTAGGGATTGGGCCTGTCCTCTGCCACTCAGGAGCAGGCCTAAGCCAGCAGGTCGTTATCTCCCGAGGGGTCCCAGACTGCGAGAGGGCACAGGCCGGGCTGAGGGACCCCCCCCTTCCCCCCAAGTGCACAAATTTTTGTGCACCGGGCCTCTAGTTGAGTTATAATGATGTGTCAGTCTAGGTTCACCAATTGTAATAAATGTACCACAAGATGCCCACCCCCATGTGGTCACAAGATGGCCGGGGGGGGAGGGTAGTTGGGGACGATCAGGCAGGCAAGGGAAGGTGGGGGGGGGGGACCAGGCCTGCAGGGGAGGGCAGTTGGGGACAATCGGGCCAGCAGGGGAGCAGGTAGGCATCGATCAGGCTGGCAGGGTAGTGGTTAGGGGATGATCAGGCTGGCAGGCAGAAGCGGTTAGGGGCAATCAGGCAGGCAGGCCGGCCAGCGTTTGGAGCCAGCAGTCCCTGATTATGAGAAGGATGTCCGACTGCCATCCTTCAGTCGGATATCCCCCAAGGGGTCCCAGATTGGAGAGGGTGCAGGCTGGGCTGAGGGACACCCCCCTACCCCCGGCCTCTAGCATTCAATACAATTAGACTGGTAGCTTTAGACTTGGAGTTCCCAGGGATGACTTTTCTGTAAGGTATTTTTACATTTTCATCTATCACTCTGTGCTACTGGATCAAAGAAATCCATTCTGTGCCTGTGAGCTTCAAGACCAAACCACCGTGTCCCAATAGAAAGACGTGATCCAAGTCAAGCCACGATGAAGCTTACAGGAACTTAGCCAGGAGAGCCAAGTCTATGTTTGTATTAAACACCCACACACCTTCTGCAACAGAGTAGCACATGAGGAAGTCTGCTCCCGCAGGCAGGGTGTAAACGGAGGCCGCATCCACCTGGGTGACATTGGCATCCAGTCTGTCTGCTGGATGGTCCACTACATCCAAAGGAATGACTGGCACGTCATGCTGGTTTCCCCGACATGCCTACAAGACAAGGAGAAAGACCACGTCACTCACTTACCTACCCTTTCTTCCCAATGCTGACTGTTTACAGTGGATATATAATTCAGTACACCTTCATGTTGACACCAACAGAAGCCACTTTACAGGCACTTCAAACCACAGCATTCAGGTTTAGAGCAGACTAAAGTGGAGTTTTTCCCCCCTACTTATGTTTTCTTTTAGTTAACGTTTTAAAAATATTGGCATCCTCAACTATACAGTAAATTCTGTTGATTGAAAGAAAGGTACACTATAGAAGAGAAAGTGTCTGTGATTTAAAAAATTCCTCATACCATAGCACCAAGAGTCATCCTTTCTTTTAAAAGCTATAGTATTTGCCCTAGCTGGTTTGGCTCAGTGGACAGAGCATCTGTCTGAGGACTGAAGGGTTCCAGGTTCGATTCTGGTCAAGGGCACATACCCAGGTTGTGGGCTCGATCCCCAGTAGGGGGCATGCAGGAGGCAGCCAATCAATGGTTCACTCTCATCATTGATATTTCTATCTCTCTCTCCCTCTCCCTTCCTCTCTGAAATCAATAAAAATACGTTTTTAAAAAAAGAAAAAGCTATAGTATTTGCCTAAATAATATGTTCCCAGATTGGGTTTTGCTTGCCTACTGACTGCCATAAACTGTTAAGGGTTAAAATGACAATATTTGACCTGAGAAGTGTGCCTTCTTCCTTTTGCTCCTACTTGAAAGTGAGGTCTCAAATTCTTAGCCACTAATTCTGACTCACACAAAGGCTAACACTAATTTCTATTCATAAATGACTATTATGAACTCAATTTTGTCCCTCCCCTTCTAAAATGTATATGATGAAGTCCTAACCGCCAGTACCTCAAATGTGATTGTAGTTGGAAATTTGGTCTTTAAAGAGGTAATTAGGGTAAAATGAGGTCATAGGGGTGACTCCTAGTCCACCATGACTGGTGTCCTTATAACAAGAGATTAGGACACACACACTCACACACACACACACACACACACACACACACACACACACGAGACCATGAGAGGACAGAGGGATGGGACAGTCATCCACAAGCCAAGGAGAGATGCCTATGGAGAAAGCAACCCTGGTAACCCCTTGATCTCAGACTCCTCCACAGCCTGTCAGAAAGTAAATTTCTATTGTGTAAGCCACCCAGTCTGAGGACTTTGTTCTGGCAGCCCTAGTCTACTTAATACAGTGACCTGACAGATTGTTTATATTATAAATGCACATCAACTATGAAATGGTTAAAAAATGAAAAGCTTTAAAAGGAACAGAAAGTCCTTTAAAAGGAACAGAAAGTCTTGAGTAATTTCAAAGTTTTCAGATATTAAAATCTGGAGATTTTAATCTTATTTAGAATTATCACGCTTATATTCAGACTATATTTCCTACTGTCTTCCTAGATATAACGTTGAACACCTGGAACTTGATGCCATCAGTTGCCAAATCAATTGCAATAAGAGCTAGCCTTTATTTTTAAGAGATTAGTTATGTATTTATTTTAACTTATTGATTTTAGATAAAGAGAGGAAGGAAGGAAGGGAGACATCGATTTGTTGTTCCACTTATTGATGCATTCACTGGTTGATTCTTGTGTGTGCCCTGACCAGGGATCGAACCTGCAACCTTAGCGTATAGGGACGATGCTCGAACCAGAGCTAGCCTTTAATTGAGGGCTTGTCTTGTGCTAGGCACTAAGTGTTTTTCATTTGTTAGGCCAGTTTGTTTTAATCTCACAACCACCCCATGAGGAGGTACTATTTTATCTCCATCTCATAGACAAGAATCTGAGGCAGTGAAATGTTTTCCTCCTTGGTGGCTATCCTCCCATAGGAGAGCTCATTAGTAATTTCCAATCCTCTTGTCTTGGACAATGTTGGCCCTCCCTTTTGCATGAAGCAATAGCTGTCATTTTTCTACCTCTCTGGGCCATTCTCCTCAGCATCTCCTCTCTGCTCATTTTTCAGGCTATACTTGCCGTGGGCAAACTCATTTGCTTCCATTACCATCCATCTCCTCATTACTCCAAAATTTATTTCTCCAACCCTGGCTGCCTCTTAGGTTCTAGACCTGTCCTTCCAACTGCATGTCCCACAGACACCTCAACACAGTTGTCCAAACAAGAAACCAAGGAATTATCTGTAACTTCTTTTTTTATAGACACCCACTCCCTCCCCTCAATGTTCTATGGCAAGATGTAGAATGTGGTCATGGTGCTCCATGCCATTCAGAAATACAGAACTGCAGCACTGGGACATCAGAAATTCTCTTTGTTGTTCAGAATTCTTATTGATGTACCAGATGATGTTATTCAGGCCTAAAAATATTTTTATTCTAATGCCAATTGGCAGGGGGGACACAGCATCTCGGTGTAAGGGAGAATGTGAAAGGATGAAGCAAGCTAGGTCTAGAACTCTTCATGCCTGCACCCCTCCCACTGGCTCAGCTCACACGCTCTCCAACTCCCTAAGGACCAGCCCGTCTGAGCAGGCGCCTTGCTCCTCACTCCCCCAGCAGCAGGTGCTTCCTCTGGTGGCTACACCTGGATACCAGGCTGGCCATGAAGTAGCACATTGGTTATTCCGAGTCATTTCAAATGTCAATCCAAGTAATAAAGACGCCGAGAGTCTTTATTTATTTTTTATGTTAAGAAAGAATTACTACCAAGAATTCAAATTGTAACTCTGGCTAGAATTCACAAAGGGCCTTTCCAGTACTGGAGAAAGTTACTTTTGAAGTTGGCTTTAGTTCTTAATAATCCCATGTACAGGCCCTGGGCTTTATAATTAAGATGGTAACATCATCAGTCTTACCTGAATGATAAATATCTTGGGTTTTCCAACCAGGCTCTTACACTTGTCTCCTCTGAACAAGCCAGTCAGTGTTTGAATTTCAATTTTGGCATCATATGCGTAAATGTGATTGCCTTCGCCATGACTCAGGAAAACGCATAAAAAGCAATCCGCATCTACATGGCTAGACGTTGATGCTAGAAAAACCCCCCAAAATTCAGACAGAAATGAAAACCAGATGCTTATTATCTATGTATTAAAATTCAATGTACTAATACTAGAATAAGTTACATACAAATGATTGCAGGAGGGAGGAAACCTGTTATTCTTAGAATAAATGTAAAATGTCTATAATGAAACATAACTTTGTTTATTTATTTATTTATTTATTTTTTAATCTTCACTTGAGGGTAATTTTTCCATTGCTTTTTAGAGAAAGTGGAAGGGAGAGGGAGAGACAGAGAGAAACACCGATGTGAGAGAGACACATCGATTGGTTGCCTCTGGCATGCCCCCGACCAGGGCCAGGAGCCTGCAACCGAAGTATGTGCCCTTGACTGGAATTGAGCCCCTGACCCTTCAGTCCACAGGCAGACACTCTATCCACTGAGCCAAACTGGCTAGAGTCACAAATTATTTTAAAAATCAAAATTATTCAAGTTCAAAATAGTAGTTTGGAAAGATTTCATTAGTTTTTCTAAAACACAGAAAATGACATAAAACAAAGGGGATATTATGGGGAACTCCCTTCAAGATCCAAGTCATTTTGGCAGTAAAAGTTACATGAATCAGCAGAGTGCCTAGACACACACACACACACACACACACACACACACACACATTTAATATAAATATGTAAAATAGATTATTATTCAGTCATTAAAAAAGAATGAAATCTTACCATGCAGCAACATGGATGGACATATTATGCTAAGTGAAATAAGTCAGAGAAAGACAAATACCATATAATCTCATTTATATTTGGAATCTAAAAGATGGTAACTAGACATTTCGAAATGTACACATATATCAAATCATTCTGTTGTACACCTGAAACTAACATAATGTTATATATCAATTATACCTAAAGAAAGAGCTCTGCAGAAAGTTTAAATTATATAAACATTATAATATTCCATTGGCAAATGACTTGAAAATTCATGGCATGCAGTGATTATTATGATAAAGATAAATTGTTAAAATACCTACTACACATTGATATAGAAATTAAGAGATAAAGTATTTAAATCACCAGTATTTTGAAGCCAGTAAAAGAGAATGGAAGGAGTCAATTAAAAAATCACTAGTGTTTGCATTTTAAACTTTTAAATGCCAAATGAAAAGATCATTTTATTCATTTCTAGAATAACAGACTCTAACTAATGGTATGCTGAATATAAGCTTTGGAGGAATAAAACTGTGCCAGGATCTCTAAATCTGGTGGGTAACATATATGCAGAGATGCACAAGCAAAAACCTATAACCCATGCCACATTAATTAGTAAGACTTTTCACTACGCAGTTAATTATTTGGATCTGTCTTTACAAACAGGGCATTTAAAGCACTCAGTGCCACCAGAGGAAGATGAACAGGAAAACTTCTTACCCTCATGAATTTTGAGCAGTAGTTCTTCTGCTTTCAGATCGTTAAAGCATTTCACTTCAAATCCGAGATCTAAAAACCTGGCGAGAGAGTAAAACCGAGTATTAGCTTATGAGCTACTCAAAGTTGTCACAAACCCTGCTTATTTGAGGAAATTTATATACTTCTTATGACACAAAAATTGTCTTTTCTTTAAGGGAAAAGAAAACTCAAATAGGACTGTGACGGTTTTCCTGGGTTGTCCACGATAGGAGAGGATTTACTAGTAATGATAACGGATTCAAGTTAGAATATTGTGTCTACTCTGCAAATACAGGTGACCCTTGAACAACAAGGGTTTGAACCGCAAGTGTCCACTTACACAGATTTTTTTTGTTTTTTCAATAAATACCTGTACTGTTTTCGATCCTCAGTTGGGAGTTTGCGGATGCAGAGGGCCAGCTGTATGCATTATCTATGCTATTCTACAGAAGGGACTTGAACATCTGTAAATGTTGGTACTCACAGGGGGCCTAGATCCCCTCCCCTGTGGATACTGAGGGACAACTTAGTTTTGGAGGAGTCAAAAGTTAGGTGTGGGTTTTTGGCTGTGCGGGGTCTCAGCAGTCCTAACCCCTGAGCTTTAGGGTCAACTGTGTATCTGTAACAATGCAGAGCCTGTTAACACTGAACAGAACAGGGTTAGGAAGAAAACTCTGGCAAGTTCTTAAGGGGGGCTGTGCCCAACTGAGGCTCATCCTCAAAAACTCTTGCTCTGTTATTTCTTCAGTGCGGACGAGTTTCCACCTGTAGTTACCACCTAAACACCTCATCGCCTCGACAGGTGGGTGAAACTACTACCTGCGCGTAAGGTTGTCTCTGTCTGCGTTGGTGCCTCGCCTTTCCGGCAGCGTCAGGTGCCAGAAGAACCTCTCATGGTTGAAGATTAAAGCGAGTCCTCTCCTCTTGTGGTCCATTTTGTACTTTTCTGCTGGATCAAACATTTCACTGTTGATGAAAAATTAAAAAAAAACAATGAGCTCCTCCGAGCCCAAGGTCCACGTGTAGTGTAGACAGAGGTCTGCTGTTTCCTCCTCCGCAGGCTGACCTGTGTGTGCACTGAAGGCCTCAGGGCCACGCCAGCAAGGACAGCCCTGAAATATCTCCGTACCAATTGGTAAACAGTGGCCACTGTGAGCACCCACCCACCATCCATCTACATGGGTGTCTCTCCCCCGGGTCTCCAGGATCCAGCAACCAGGGCCTGGCCGAGGCCCGCTTTAGCTACAGGGCCCAGGCCATACCAACTTTAATATTTTGGACATCACGCTAAGTCCTTTCACAACCAGGGGCAGGCACTCACCTGTATATTAACTAGAAATTAACTCCCCAATGTGAAACCTGCCATTGTTCTACCTTCCAGTGCCCAGGCGCCTTTCCCGCTTTGATTTTTCTAGTCTGATCATGACCACCATAGGAAGAGGCCTTTATTAGAAAAGACAATATTCTTACCTCCTACAGAAGGCATCTCTTTCTGTCATGTTTTGTTCCTCACCTATTAAAACGAAAGTTGATTTTTGTTAATGTACTTTGACTTCTGGTAGTGAAACAGCAGGAAATGCCATGTGGATGCCCTTGACGCCCGCACGCTAAGGGTATATGAAAAGAAGAAAGGGAAACTGCTGCATAATAAGCCAATGAACTATAAATCGATGGCTTAATTCTTTCTCACTCCCAACTCTTACCCGCAAAATAGCAAAGAATATCATACAGAGAAGTGGAGAAAATATTACGCAAATGCATTCATTGTGAAATATGCCTAGATTTAACAGTCTTTTGATTATGGAACTTGAAAGAAGTAGGAAATTGCTTTGACTATATCTTTTTTTGTTGTTGTTAATTCTCACTGGGGGATATTTTCCCATTGATTTTTAGGGAGAGTGGAAGAGAGAGGGAAAGACAGAGAGAAACATCAATGTTCGATTGGTTGCCCTGGCCTGCAACCAAGGTAGGTGCCCTTGACCGGAATTGAAC